AACGGCCATTTAAGAGTACTTTTCTTAACACACTTAAGTACACTTTTTAAAAAAAGTGTTGGGGGGCCCTGCGATAACCTCCCCGTGCTGGGTTGCGTCGTATCATGTGTTGATAGCCAGAGATATTGTCAAAGGCATCAAATATTGCATAAACATTTCCAATTAATGTAGGCCTGTTACATTCTTATTATTATTAGGCCTGTTGTTATTATTATTAGGTTACTTTTATTATTAAATTACAATTAATTTGCCACGCAATAATTTCATAGCGCATCCCCGCATAACTGACGCGCTGTGAGGATAAAAGATTAGGCTATATTAGCTTAATCTTAGCTTACTTTAAAAAAAGGTCTTTTAAAACAGGTCCACTAATTTATACAATGAATTATAGGCCTATAATTAAAATTATTAACTCTGCAGTCATCAATGAAAATTAAGAGCAGCTTTACTTCAAGCACCGACTTTCAAAAACAACCTGTTTAACGCAAAATATATTTCTCATTTTTTTTCACATATATGTACGGGCCACAAGAGAAATATTAAGGAATAATTCAAGATGGTTATATGCCGTTATCAGCATATGTTGAAGTAGATTCGTCTGATGTCGTCTCTGAGAGCATATGCGCCATTAATGCAGCGTCAGATGCAGAAAGCGCCGTCAGTTTGTACTTTTTTAACTTTCACTTTGTATAATTGACTGAGGTTAAAACATTCACCGGCATAACTCTTGCGCAAAGTTTGCACGTTGCTTAATATCAGCCTTCATGGTTTAAAACAGAAATATTTCTAATATTGTGACGTAACAATACCCCCCCCAGGACTTGCGGTTCGCGGGAGGGCACCATGATTTTGCGCTACGCCACTGGTATTATTATATATTACACTTGAAATAAATATATTTTAAATGTGCAACTTCATTACAAATGTGTAATTACAACAAATGTTTCACATCTCTACGTAGGTCCTACTTAATAAATTCACTCACTTAATATAAATGTAAACTTTATCACTTTAATAAAGTTAAATATGTGAATAACATGCAGTTAAATGTCTGAAAACATCACATTAAGTTTGCACTGACTGAAGTATATTATTTTAAAATATATTATTTCTCTAATAAGTGCTCTAAGGCCAATTTCCATTGTGGTAAAACAGACATGAAGTCAAGGGACCTTAAAAAATAAATAAACACTTTATTGTTTGTTTAAAGTTTATTTTTACTATTAAGGGACACCATCTAGCATGGCAAATGAAGACTGACCCGTGTTGTACAAATCTGTGTTTTCTTTTTAAGAATATGATGCTCACCTTGAAAGCCAGCTTCAGCCAGCCTGCCTAAGCCTAGTCTGTTCTGATGGGTTTTAGAAGGGTTTGAGGTATTTGTCAGTTTAGCCAAGCTGAGAGACCATGCAGCTACACCAGCAAACCACCGCAAGCTGTTTTAAACAAGTTATATGATCTTATTAGCTCACTGCTCTTTGTGGGATTTTTTTGTCTTTGACTACATTTTTCCACCAGTGCAAATATGGCTTGATCTACCTTATACTTTTGCAAATCCTTCTGAGGTTTTAGATTTAAGAGGATTTTCTCAATGTCCTTAAGTGTCATATCCGATCAATGATAAAACAAGTTCAAAGGATCTTTCGAACACCATTCTGACAGGTCTTGTTCTTGTCAAGTACAGTGCAGTTTAACATAGGCTTTTGAATTAATGCTCTGTAAGGATAAAGCCAGAAAATGCTATTGCTCATACGTTGCTCTTTCATAGCTCATGAGACTTAATTGAGTACAATTTCATCTGAAATGTTTCTCTAAAAACTCCTATAGGGGACTTGAAATAAACATTCAAGTTTATTTTAATCTCCTCTAAACTTCACCAGTGCACGTTATTTAAATAAAAAATAAAAAATGTTTGTTTTAATAACTTAAAATGACTTTCCATTTCGACTGACATATAAATAATAACAAGTAGCCAACTTTTCATGATCTCATCAATTTACGATTTACCCTACATTTTTGATTAATTTTTTTTTTTTACCAGTGAATATTATGTTTGACCCAGAACTGCATTTCACTAAGGAATTCAATTTCTTTCAAATGCTGTTGTGTTGACTTTCAGCAGAAGTATCCGTTTACTCCTTTTAATATTGCTTTTGTCTAGTAGAAACAAATAAACATCTTCTGTTTCTTAATAATTATACTCACAATATTTTTTATCCAAATTCTCAGTATTTAGTTGAATAGCACAGTCAGTTGATTACAGAATCAGTGCATCCATGGCAGTTGTTTATTGATCTGTATCTTGACATTCAGGATATGAATCAGATATGAATGACTCAGTCTTCTCAGCACGAGGGAATGTGAGGTGAAGGAGAGCTATGAACAGACGAGATGAACAGGGCTGCTAATTAGCCAAGCAGAAATAAACCAGCTGTCAGTCTAATGTGCGACTGCTGTGCTTCACTCATATGAGACTCCAACCCACCCAGGAGAGAGAAATTGTGGTCATTTTGAGTCAGCGGAATGAGTTCTGACAGATTCACCAAGTCATCGGACATTGTTTTAAGCAGTTAAATGTTGTATTTCTAATATGTACAGTAGATTACAAGGCTATTGCTGTGTTGCTGTTATGGTTAATGAATTACTCAGGTATCAGTTAGAGGAAAATTCATTCATGACAACAAATGATATCATCCTTTCTTTCAGCTGTTTTATTTATTAACTTTATCAGTTAATATGGTGTTTTTGACTGATCTGGTCTTACTGATTTTGGACACTTAACTACATGTTCATTTAATGCAATTAAATAAAACGGTCTGTTCGCCACAGGGCCCGGTGCGACCGCACCAGTTGCACCCCCCTTAGGACGGCCCTGGTGACAGACATAGAGATATCAGGGCAAACTAAGAGACTGAAAATTAAAATTTCAGTTCAGGAGAGAACTTTTAATTATTTTGCATGTCCCCAGCTTAAGGATTTTTTATGTGATGGCCATACAAAAAATAGGGTTGTCCATGTTTTAGAATTTGTTTGGGTGTATGGGATGGCCTGGATGAGTGTGAGATTTCCCGGCCTGAAATCTTTTCCCAGTCCGCCCCTCGTGGAAATTAATGGTGCAGAGGCGGTTTCATTTACTACACATACTGAAGTGTGCGTGTGTATCGCTCGCTGTGTTTTCAGCCTCTGTCGCCTCAGTATATATGAGTACATGAACACATGAACATAATCTCTAGAACTGCTCATGAGTCATTTCTTGACCATTTTACAATTTCTTTTGAGAAAACTATATCGTCGTATCATATACAAACAGACACCAATGTTTCAGGAGTCAATCTCAAAGTAAAAGGCAGTACTAAAGTCTGATTTTGTGGTGGATGTGTTCAATTATTATCATCTTAATTCAAGTGATGAAGGATTTTAAAAGTCTGACAGCAATCAGTGTTGAGCGCATACTGTCAGGTTAACCCTGGTGTAAATGTTTGAAAATGATTAAAACATCCATTGTTGAAAATGTTGAAAACATCCGTTGGAAATTTAGAAAAGTAATCAAAAAGTAATCAAATGTAATCAGTTACATTACTTTAATAAAGTAATTAAAAAAGTTACACTACTATTACATTTTAAATAGGGTAACTTGTAATCTGTAATGGTAACCTATTACATTTTCAAAGTAACCTTCCCAACACTGGTTATAGGACTTAAGTCCATCTTTGCATTCATGTCCGTAATTACTTCTTTAAAGAATGATTATAAAATCATACTTTAAGATGTACTTTAAAGTAAATGTTTTAGACATTATTAATGTACTTGCAGTCATGAAAGTGTACTCTCTTTAAGTACACTTAAGTGACTTTCTACTTCACTAATATTACATTATCTGCAAGCAGTTTTTAATATACTTGTAAGATTTGATGTGAACTAGAAGTGCACATGAAATAGAATTAAGCACTCGTTTTTGAAAAGAGTGGGTCTGTTTATAATAAAACCAAAAATTTGGAATGTCGGTTTGGTTTCCATTTAATTTCAATAGTCAACGAAAACAAAGAGAAAAAATTGAGATATTGACGAGATGCCGTTTGTGATTTTTCTTTCCTATAAGATGTGTTGTTGAGATTTCCCAGTTCGTCTGAAGATGATTTTATTACACACACACACTGTCCACTACTAATCCACTACTCAACAAGAACCAAAAGATACGACAGGAGCCAAAAGACACAACAATTGAACACCTTGAATATCTTTATTATTTTGAACGTAAAGGATACACAATCAAAAATACTCAATGCTTTGCTACATCTCAACTAACAACAGCACAAGATTTCAAAAATCCTTTTTTTCTGACAACAAATATAAAAATGGAAAAAGAGCAGACTTGTGACCAAACATAGCAGAAAATCAAGCTTTGGCAGGAATTCAGATGAGACATTTCACCAAATCATCTCAAGAGTCCAAGGTTTCGCCTCTGGTTAAATGCAAGCATAGACACCAGCTAAAGCAAGTCGCAAAGCTCTAAACACCTCCATCCATTGAGAAACAGTGAGAATATTACAATGTGCCTGACGAACATACACACCATGGGTAATTGCTCTCATGAGTTATTTACATCGAGGTTCAAAGTAGGAACCATAACATTCTGTACATTTACAATATGATCGTTTGCCATTTTATTGTTGGCCTATATCAATATTTCAATAATATGTTGTAATAGGTGGTACATAAGAATGAGTCTAACAAGTAGGGTGTCTGTTTTCATATTCTAATGTGAGAGCATGTATGTATATTTTCTGCTGTTTCAGAAGTAAAAGCACAAAACTCCGTTTTATCATGCCTTTCAAGATTGTTGTTACCTAACTACATAAGGGGCGTATGGATATTCTGCTTCCATAATGGGTCATTGACACTCACAGACATCGTGGGGAAACCGCTTGACAAGATTGCAGAGTCATGCCTTTGTACAAACAATAGTTGAGTATTAAATACAAAAAAATGTACAACAAAAATAAATATTAATAAATAATAATCAAAAATTAATATAAGATTAAAACTACGCAGCTAAAAAATTAAACAATGGACATAAAAGAAACAAATGAGCCGGTGGAAATATTGGGGGATTAGGGAATTGCGTGATGCAGGTGGACGTGATGACAAATCTTTAAAAAGCAGCGTGGAAAATCTCATTGGCTGTCTGTGTTGGGAGGCTTGACATCATGTTGGGCACTTCCAGCGGGAAGCCATGGAGAAACAGAGCGGGAGGTGGTCTGCTTGGCCATGCTGTAGTGGCTGATGACGGTGTAAAAGCGGCCGCGGCTGTTGGCATCCTGGGCGGTGTAGTAGGCCTCCAGTGAGGCAGGGATGCAGCGCTTGTGCTGTTGGAAAAAACAGGAATATGTAACATTAGAGCTATGAATTTTGACTCCAAATTTGTTGTCGGCATAAGAAATTTTTATTACTTTAAGATCATCATTTAAGCTCTTCAATGGGACAAATGTGCATCACGCATATCGCTATTATTCTGTCGTCATAGATTAATGTACTAATCATTTAAGAAGGTATATTAAGTGTCTTTATATGTAATTTCATAATTACTTCATATGTGTTTGAAATATTGTTAATTTGTGTTACATTTACAGTAAACTAAAATATACTTCAATGTTATTTCTATTTAAAGTTGTATGTCATGTTTTTATATACATTTGTAATTACACATCTGTAATAATGAAGATACAATTCATTTAGAAATATTAACTTTAAAGGGGTCCTATTATGCTCTTTTACAAAGTTGTTTTGGGGGTGTACTAGAACATGCTCTCATGCTTGGTGGTTGGAAAAATTATTTTTCACATAATTTACATTATTAAAATACCTTTCTCCCCAGCCTGGCACAAACGGCTGGATTAGTTCCAGCTTTGATGAAGGTCCGCCTTCCGAAAAACAAAATGTGTTGTGATTGGTTAGCTGTCCCAGTGCGTTGTGATTGGCGAACAGCTTAGACAGTGTTTCATTACTGCCCCGCCCCTTGCTCCGTCTTTCAACAAAAGCTTTTGGCAAATCAGGCACTGTACTCCCTCGTGTTGTGGAAGCTGTCCTCAGTAAAATGCGCAGCACACAATAGCAAATTGGGGTTATAATGCTCAGGAACAGAGTTAAAAAAATAAATTGCAACCACTGTTTCCTGACATCGTCCGCTTTCGGAAGCCCAAACAAAGACGTTTGGGCACGGAGGTGAAAAAAACAGCGTTTCAGGCGGTCGCACACCGGACGAGAAGTGCAGACAAGCCATGTCTTTAAAATTCGAATACATTATTTTCTATGAGTGTACGCACACCGGTGGCGCCGTTCGGCGTCTGTCCGCGGCGCCCAGCTACGTCGTGTTGTACTTGTAAGAATTGTTCTAAACATGCCGAAAATGTGATGCTACAGCACAGCAGCTCTTCTTCTTCATTTTCTCTGATGCACTAAATACACACTACACACTGACTAAAATGTAAAAAGTGAAAAAGCAAAATAGGACCCCTATAAGTGTAATATTCAGTAACACTATAGTTCAATTATAATCAAGAACGACACTAAAGTTAATTTTAAATGTTTCAAAGTAAAAATTTTAATTTCACATTATTGTGAAACTTTTTAAAAGTGTACTTATAGTTACGAAAGTGTACAAAGTGGTCTTTTAATTTGGCTTTTTTTGGCCTTTAATATTGTGAAATTTTGTCTAAAAACAAAGTGAGCATAAATATAATTTTGAATAACTATATGAATTTTACAGCAGTATATATTTACAGTATTTCTCTCTAAGTAACTGCATTTATACGTAACATTTGATAGTTAAAATGGATTAGTCTTATTTTCAGACATTAGTAGTTTAGTCAAATTAAACAACCATTACAGACAGTATTTAATTTTATTAATTGTGTAAATAGTTTTGAAATAATTAGTTTAATACATGAAGAACATGAAGAAATTAAGAAATATTGTGTTCATCTACTTACCTTATACACAAAGCCATCAGGGCAGGTGTGGTCATAGGTAAACGCTTTGTACACCACCAGAAACACTATGCAGGCCAGAAAGGCCAAGGCCAGTATGATGAGGATGGTCACCTGTGTGTGAAAAAAAAGAATGAAAAGTTCATTACTGTGCCCTTTTAGCTATTCTAGAAAGCTTGACACTTTACTTGTAGCTCAAACAGAAGACCATGCCAAGGTCATGAGGGAAAAGCAAGAAATGCAATGTAAGTCACTTTGTAATAAAGCATTAGCCAAATGTATAAATCTAGATCAAATGGTCATAACCTTGTACATTGCAAAGATAGTTGTGAGAATAGAACAGAACAGAAAAAATTACATTACATTTGAAATCTTATTGCTTGAATAAAACCAGTAAAAATGTGTTTAATTTGTACGAAAAACTGTAACGCGACCAAAGAAAGATCATGCTCATTTTTTTATTATTATTTATGTAAAAAATGATTAAAAATTATATTCAAAATGCACCTGAAAATAAGTCTTAAAACATCAAGCGAATCTGCTTCTCAAGTGAATTTATCTTTGTTTAAATTTAGTGAAGATAAATTCAGAATTTAGTAACCGTAACTGTTCGATGTCCAATGTTTGTTTAAAAGTCATAAGAAATATTTCTGCTTATATTTTGCCAAGTTGGATGCATGATACCCTCATGAAAGATACACATTTATGTTGTTCTCACATATTATAAATTAATTCAAAAGTGTGCCATACATCAACACTGCATGGGCGTCAATTATGAAACAAATGCAAAACAGCTTCCAATTTCAAGCTCTCTGATGGTTCTTTAAACCTCTGCAAAGGCAAAGACAGAACTGGGGCTAAATGGTCGGATGGTAACAATAGTGTGATCACATCACTGTTGTCGTTTTTTTCCCATCAGCGCTAATTTTTTCAAATCACTGTCATCTTCAAGTACATTCACCTCACAGGATGCAGTTCAATCTGTCACACTACATTTGTATCGATCAGTGATCGAACTATACCGTGGACTTTGGGGGAGCCCACTTGTTTTTTTTATAACGGGGGGAGGGGGGTTTGTGCGCTTGCGCGTGCCTCAAAAGAGGGCTTACAATGACTTAAAAAGATACATAACAGCTACAAGTGTATGCACTACTTGCTTTAAGTAAGCACTATATATGATAAATCACTATACAGGATTTACCCTATTATACTTTATCGACACAAATCGATAGGTGAAACAACAAACAGCCACCCACACAGTCTATAAACAAAGCATCAGGCTGTCTTTGAGTTCACATGAACAACGGTTAAATTTACTCGTCGTCAGGCTACAGAAGAATACCATAATTCCTCCGTTCAATTAGACATGAGTGGAATTTGCACCGCAGCGCCCCCACATCCTGATGCTCATGACAAGAATAGCATGTATAGTTATCTTTATTGAAGTGAATTAGGTTTAAATCGCCGTCATGCATGAATGAATGATATTTTTGCAATTTTACACATAATAATCCACGATGATCACATTACACAAAACTGAAATTGGACGTCAAAATAACACATTGTCATTATTGTTTGAGACCCCCCAAAATTTCACAAATCCCGCTTTCAGGGGAGCCCATGCCTTATTAAGGGGAGCCGAGCTCCCCCTAGCTCCCCCGTAGTTCGCACCCTCGAGACTCTCGATAAAGCAGCTCATACAATAAATCTACGTGGTCCAATCTAGAAATCCCAGGCTTAAAGAAGCCATTTCTCGACCAGACCAGACTAATTTGTCAGGGGCGATTAGTTCTGTAAAAATTCAGTCCACTTTTAGCTTTTTAGTCCAAGAAACAGCAAATGGATGTTTTTGAGGACTGACTTATAAGAATTATGCAAATAGAAAAAGGAAAGATAAATGAGAGAAAACCAGTTGACATCTGAATATTTCAGATCTCTCCAAGATACTGAAAAATGCCTGTGCTGTCAGAAAAGTGCTGCAACCCTTCCGCTAAATCAATAAAAAACTGCCATCTTGTATCAAAATTACTATTAACAACTGAATCCACAGCACCATGGACACTATTTTTGTGACACTAGTGTAGCTGATTTTAAGAAAACAGAGGGGCTATAACTGAACTGGATGTTTGAGAGTGAATATCAGACTAATGGAAATTTTTCTACAGATATTGTGGTTCTGAACTGGATGGCACCAGATACAAAAGTTTTTCCAAAACAGAAAGCAACATTATGCTACTTCCTAAGATACGTAATTTTAGACTAAATCTAAGGCATACACACACATATATAAATCATAAATTCAACTCAACAGCAAAACTATTTGCGTTCTATCACTGGCAGATTTGTTTTTTGTGAAAGTGAAGTGAAAGTGAAGTGACATGTGGCCAAGTATGGTGACCCATACTAGGAATTAGTGCTCTGCATTTATCCCATCCATTTAAGTGAAAAAAAACTGCCATAGCCATAAAACAAAATACATATTTTAGAAATTGGGAACTAGGATCCAAGACTATCAAATAATATGATAGTGTTTAGAAGGATAATGTTGAAAGAAGTTACAAAATCCATCCGAGATAAGTGTTGAGAGAAATGTTTCATTAAAGCTGCAGTCCGTAACTTTTTTTGGTTAAAAATGATCAGAAATCAATATTTGAGCAAGTACATAACCAGCCAGTGTTCGAAACTATC